TGATCGCAACGGGGATATACTCGACGTATGAAGCACAGAAATCGGTTTGTGTTTTCCATCTTGTCTTGTGATCCTACGCTCAGTGAGAAATGTAGAAAAGCACTTCAGGTACTATTGCTCTGAGGAATCCGTACCTTCGAGTTCTCCATCTTGAGCTCTCGTCTACGTCCGCAAACTCGTCCGGATCAAATCCCTTCGGCGTTCAATTTACACCAGAAGAGGAGGAGGAGTTTGGGCAGATGGCTCGCAGTGACGGGTTTTACGAGCGTTTTGCAAAAAGTATTGCGCCTAGTATCTATGGAAGCGAAGGTACGATTCTCCGTTATGAACCTTTTAGTGTGTGCCGAAGACATCTTCTTCAGATATAAAGAAAGCTATTGCTTGCCTGTTATTTGGCGGTTCGAAGAAGATTCTACCGGATGGCATGCGATTGCGTGGAGACATCAATGTTTTGCTCCTGGGTGACCCAGGGACAGCGAAATCTCAGCTTTTGAAGTTCGTAGAAAAGGTAAATGAAATGCAAGTCGTACATCTATGTAATCTAATCTTCGATTTCCAGGTTGCACCAATAGCAGTTTACACATCGGGCAAAGGATCCAGCGCAGCTGGTTTGACCGCCTCTGTTCAACGCGATACTATTTCTGTAAGCAAACCAGTTTTTGTTGTCGTAAATGTCAACTAAATGTCTTCGATAGCGCGAGTTCTTCTTGGAAGGAGGTGCCATGGTCTTAGCAGACACAGGAGTGGTTTGTATCGACGAGTTCGACAAAATGCGAGACGAAGACCGAGTTGCAATCCACGAAGCTATGGAACAGCAAACCATTTCCATCGCAAAAGCCGGCATAACGACAGTGTTGAACTCACGAACGAGTGTTCTCGCAGCAGCCAACCCTGTATGGGGTCGCTACGACGAGGGTAGAAGTCCTGGCGAGGTTTGACTGTCTTTTAATGTGTCTTGATTTGAAGGCTGACAGCATGCGACTTTAGAACATCGACTTCCAAACAACAATTCTGTCTCGGTTTGATATGATCTTCATTGTCAAGGACGAACATAATGAGCAGCGAGATAGGGTAAGTGGACATTTATTTCGTCTTGCACCTCATACAAATTGACTATTTAAACAGACCATAGCAAAACACGTCATGAATATCCACATGAATAGACCAAACGAACTTACGGGCGAGAACGGCGAGGTCGTCGGAGAAATTGATATCGACAAAATGAAAAGATATATCGCATATTGCAAATCGTTAGTTCGCATTCATTCTTTCCATGATTCGAAGTATTGAACGCAGCCCAGAAAATGTGCTCCTCGACTTTCAGCCGATGCTCAGGAGATGTTGAGCAGCCACTTCGTCGCGCTTCGAAAGCAAATACAACAGGTGGAACAAGACAACGACGAGCGGAGCTCCATTCCGATCACTATTCGGTATGTCCATTGGAAAATCCTCTTGCATTTTAACGGTGGCTAACAAAGATTGTTTCAAGTCAATTGGAGGCTATTATCCGTATCTCAGAATCTCTGGCGAAGATGACACTCTCGCCAACTGTAGCAACTCACCACGTCGAGGAAGCCATCCGATTGTTCAAGTTCTCAACAATGGACGCTGTCTCCGCCGGGTCCGTCGACGGTCTCTCGCGCGGCGAGCTGAACGAGGAGATCACCCGCATCGAGAAGGAGCTACGCCGACGCCTCCCAGTGGGCTGGAGTACCAGCTACCAAAGCTTGGTACGCGAATTCGTGAACAACCAGGGATTCTCCAGCCATGCTCTGGAGCGCACGTTATTTTTGTTGGAGAAGCGCGAGGTCATTCGATTCTCGGGTCAGAAAAAGGTCGTTCATAGGTAAGTTGGACTTTCTCGAAGTATCAATCGACAAAAAATGCTGATCGATTCGCGTTAGGTCTGGTGTCTAATGTGTTTCGTTTGGACGTTGTGCTCTCCGGGTCTTGATTGCTGTCGTATTTATTCTGTACCTTTATGTATAAGTATCATCATCTGTATTCAATTACCTTATTTTCTGCATTCCCTTCGTCGGTCGAGCTTCCCATCAGTCAAGAAGAAACGAATTCGGATTCGTACAAATACACAATTAGCACAAATTATAGCGTATATCGTCTGGTTAGCACCAGTGGGGGATCATCCCGACCTGCGTGCGTGGAAGACAAGTAAGTCAGGAGCGACGATGGCGGATCTTGAATAATCTTCTAACGCACATGGTTGCTGCGCATGACGAGAACTCGAGGTCAGTGTCCCCGCTTTCCATCACAACCACTGGAACGCTGTTCTTGAATCTATCTCTACTGTTCAGACTAGAGGGAGTCTGGTCAGCCCGGGGAAAAGCAGGTCAGCGATTCACAAGGTACCACGTACGCAGCAAGCATTGAATTCAGATAGACTGAGAATATCGTTCAGATCAGTCACGTCCGCGCAGCAATATCGATGGCAAGAGACAGACCTTTGCCGTGCACAAAATAAATTCCGATATAAATCATGTTTGAGGGCATCGTGAAGGCCTGAAGGGGACCAGCTGGTCAGCTACAAACGCAACTTTAAAAGCGACGTTGCAGAACTTACAGAAATGATATAAGCCGTCGTGAACATGCTGTCCAGGTGGTGAAAGATTAATTGTAATTAAGGCACAGGGACTTTAGTACGAACCTCGTCAATAAACCAGTCGCGACGGTGAATTGGATCAAATTCTTTAGCAATAAACGTGTCCGAGGCATCGCGAGGTCCCGCTTCGAATAGAGGAGAATACACATTGAGCACGCAATCGCGATGTCGACTGCCATGCGCAGTGAGGAGAATGTCCCTAATAACCACTGGTTTGCCGGCGTAATTTAGCACCACAGGCCAATGAGCATGATAAACTAAGGATATTTCTCGTACCTCTTCCTTCTTTGCATCGACGAACGCTGGAAATCGATAACTAGGAGCACCTTTAGTTTCGAGGGTTGAGGCGGTAGGCTTGCCCTGATGGCTCACCATTTTACGACGTATGCTGTTTCAATAAAAATAAATTGTTGATGTGAAAGCCAATCTATCCAGGCACACTCACCTATACTGACACCTTAAGGAGAGGTTTCAGAGACGAAAATACACGACTCGATCCTTCAGGAAAACGAGGGAGTGAGACTCACCGTAAGCACAGATTGTGGGTAAGAGCTGTACATGTGTAAAACATGAGATTCTGCGGCTCGAAAACAACGTGTTTGAACTGACCAATGCCATCGCCTTCATGGTCTTGTTGCTGTTACTCACTGAACCAGGGCAAGTGCAGGTCAGATAGGTGAATTCTGTTCCATGAAAGCTGTCTGCTCACGTCTCCATATTCGATGAACAAAATAACTGAGGGAGGCCTGTTTGAGATAATATTCTCTCTGAGAATTCGGGAGAAATGAACCCACCAGTCAACCGCGACTGCGATAATTTCCTGCAAGACAGAGACGTCGGTTAGCCTGCTGCTTCTATACGACTTGTGGAAAACTGACAGTAGGAATTATTTGTGTCTGAGAAAAATCAAACACATTAGTAGAGCCCTGCGACAATGGCAGAGCAAGCAGTTGGACACTCACAATTATACTCCTGCTCACAAGATTCACTTTAGATATTCAATTTGGACGAGGTTGAACGCACCAGTTCGCTGTTTGTAAGGCTTGTGGAGATATTTTTGAAATAAGGTAATGCCAAGTGCTATGGATAATTAACACTGTATGAAAGGTGTCGACCTGAGAAATCGAGCAATGAGAAAGCAACGTGCATCTGAGGTAAGGGGTACTCACCACCCATGTTCCCCCGACCTGGTCGTTTAGAAGTTTAAAGTTATGAATTGATTTTAAAAATTCAGCTGCAAAGCTCGATGACATACGAGTGTCTTGAGAAGAAGTTCGTTCCGTGCGTAATAGGTCCTAAAGAAGAAAATGGCCTGCCCACAGGTAACACCGTAGAGACTAGCGAAGACAGGATTCGACAGAATCAGTAAGCGCCAGCTCGTCAACGTCAAGCTCCGATTAAAATTTCACGTACATGAGGGAGATCGTAAGCCCGTCGAAAGTTGCGCCGAAGTTTGCATCGATAGCAACCATGGGAGATTGAGGAAACGCAGAAAGTGTCTAGGAATTGCAAGAGGGAAAGGAAAGGGACGCGAAGATTATGGGAGAGCAGACGCAAGAGGGGACTTCGCAGTGGACGCTGGTTGAAGCCGGGGATAAAGATAGGCTCGAACACGCCGACGGAGCGGGTGGACTCGAGGCTTCTGGCGAGGCTCGAAGCTTCCTCGGCGGCTCCTATGCAATTTATACCATTTATACAATCATTCGCGGCGGCCCTTCAGCGGTTTAGAAGACACGCGATAGTCCGACGTTATTTGATAGATTGTCTCTCGTCAATGACAGAACGAGGAAAGTTCTGCCATTCTCGTCCGTCAATGTTCACCGGAAACTCTAAAGCATCCGGTTCTCACACTCCTCATACTCACCGAGCGCTACGAAATGACGACAAAAAAGGTTTCCTCTTCAAAAAGTTTCGTTTAGAAAATGGAGGTGAAGGCGTCGAGTAAGGGAGCGTTTGCGGATGAGATCCACTATTCCCAATTATAACAAAGATTAAAGAAAACGATGATAAACGCGCAAATATTACATTTCGCAACGCCCGCCTAGCTCAATCGGATAGAGCGTCAGACTCTTATGAGCCTAAAAGCGGGTGATCTGAAGGCTGCGAGTTCGACCCTCGCGGTGGGCTAAAGTCTTTTTGTCGCTTTCTGGGTTCTCAGACATACTCGTTTTCGCTTTGTTTTGACTCCCATTCTTTTTTTTTCGACAGTTCTCGTTGGTCGAAGTTAGTGCATAGAGAAAGGGAAGAAATCGTCTGTATTCTGCTCCCATGTAAATGCATATTTGTTTACCCGTCAAATGAAAAGGAAAGCCACTTTTTGGTTCATTGGTGCGGTAAACTTCCGTCCTCGTAGGCAAGTGTGTGAGTGTTTTCATTGGCAAAAAGGTCTCGCCCGGAATCGAACCGGGGTTGCAGGAACATCCATCAGAATCCTGAGTGCTAACCGCTACACTACGAAACCCAGAAAAGAGGTCTTGCCCGGATTCGAACCGGGGTTACAGGAAGATCCGAAATATCAGAATCCTGGGTGCTAACCGCTACACTACAAAACCATGCCTTTAAGGCTCCTAATATTGGATATAACAACTTTGCTTAAATTTGGAGCACTTTGAATCCGGAGACCGTGGACCTCCTACCGGCGTAGAAATTGTATTTTGCAGATCTGAATCCGAGGGAGACCAAAAGCTGAGGAAGGGGAGCCAACGGGATACACCGGGAGATCTTCCTTGACATATCATTGGAGGAGCCCGGAGAGGCTAAACGTCTGAAATTCTGCTCCGAAGGCAGTCCGGGTTTCGGTTACTCGAGAGAACCGAAGAGAGCACCCTGGTTTATTGAAGAATATATCTTAGAACATATTCGCGAACGTAGATCTCTGCAAACGTAGCTAGCTTTGCTCGAGCTGATTCAGGAAGATGGGGATCTTTGTAACGGTAATCCTCCAATGCAATGATCGACGCATCAATATATTGCGGCAAACAAGGCACAATACCCCAACGTGTTGCGCTAATTATAACCGTGAATTGGACTCAAATTTAAAGGGACACCTTTAACCCCGTCCTCTTCCTCTTCATCTTCAACGCCGACGACGGCGACGACTCTTTGCACGACGTCCACGAACCCGCCAACGACAACGACGGCGACGAGCTTTGTACAATAGCATCATGTCTGACGGTGCGTTTCTCTGCAGGTGTGCTCTCGTGCCACGCTGATCATCGCCGTAGTTGGAGTCATTGCATCCTTGTCGAGGGCCCTCCATCGCATTAGAACGACCCCGCCGCGAATCATAGCGTCTCCAGCGACCCGTGCGTTCTTATGCATAATCTTCTACTTAAACGTATTTGACGAGATTTCATAGAACCACGCCGTGCCGCAGTTGCTATTATCATTCGTGTGACACCCAATCCAGCCTACCGTGTTTCTCCCGCTCAGCTTCCTACCTCTCTTCCGGAATTCTTCCTACTTGACTGGGTGAATGACCCTGCTGCGCAGGCAGAGATCTTATTTTTGAGGAGGGGTTGCACGGACAATGAGCGAACTGTTGCTCAGAACAAACCAAGGAATGCCGATGACGCTCATGTCGCCTTCCCGGGTGGCCGCACTGAGGAAGGTGATGAAGGGGGATTATATACAGGTTCGTGTTTTTGCTTCTTAAAGTCAACGCCCTTGATCTCATTACCTTGACTGTGCGGTAGCCATGCGTCAAACTTGGGAGGAGATCGGCATCGACCTCGCCGAAAAGGACTTCATGCTTGTTGGACAGCTCGATGACAGAGAAATAACTACTTCTCTTGGGAAGCGCCTGCTTATGATTCTATCTCCCTTTGGTGCGTCCAAACTCACGAATTCGCTCTTGTTATCATTATTGACGGATTTACTCGTAGTATTTCTACAAGTTTCCCCTCAGACTCCTTCCCCAGACCCGAATCCTGGAACACAACTTCATTGGATCCCACTCAGCTCCTTACTCGCGTCTACTTCATCTTCAAAAATATCTGCTGCGCACGACAAAGCACAGCAGTCGAAGCGCCCCAGTCGGCAGTGGTCAACGGTGTCGGTCGACATATCATCCCGGCTAGCGCCTCGTCATTCGACCGTTTTCAAATTGGTGATGCGTACTCTACTGGGTAGCATGGAATTCAATGCGATTTTGCTCGACCCAAGCAGCTCGTTTGGCGATGGTGTTGTCGGGCCGATCTCCGATGAGAAACGTGCTCACAGCGGCGACAGCGAAAAGGCCGTAGCGACTTCTGCTGGGGGTTGGGTCAGGTCGGGCGGGAGCGGCGAAAAATTGAAGCTATGGGGACTCTCGCTGGGAATGACACTTGATCTTATCGCGTACATGCATCCGCCCTCGCAGCCTTTTGGTATGGATTACCCTCGGGATGAAGTAACTGGCCTTGGTACAAGCATTGCGCCCAGCATGACGTGAGTTTTTCTTCATATCACGTCTGCACACGATGCTAACACGATTTCTTCTCTATCAGGTCGGTCTTCCCTCGATTCTCCTACCCTGATGTAAGAACCCATGTATTACGATGGTTTCGTGGATGATATTCATAATCTGTTTCTTTCCTCAAGGTCAATTTCTGGATCTGGGTGTTTGGAAAACGTTATCGCGATGTTCTCCGTGGGTGGGAGGCGAGTGCTCGAGCCGGTGGTGCGAATGATCGAAGGTAACTGCAATGATTTTATCGAACTGTATCTGTGCTCACCTTTGTGTCTGTCTCCCACCCGTATAGAATCAATTGGGTTGGTACAGCCGTGAACCAATTTTACGCTGCTGTCCGAAAGGCTCTCGTTGTGGTTCTGGTTCTCCGCTCGATCGGACTATTGATTGGGTTCAGTGTAGGGACTTGGTGGGTCTTCTTCCGTTGATGAAGGACTCTGGATTTTGCGGTTGCATATGGGCATTGTTTCTGTACATTCGTGATTCGAACTAGTTTCCGACACTCCTTTCACCTTTTGTTACATAGTTTAAAATGTATCACTATCGTGCACTACGCATATTGTATGTACAATGGCAGACTTCTCCATCGGAGAGTTATTCGACAAGAGTGCTTTACAAGATTATAAGTTACAGTGATCCCCGTACAGACTACAAGAGTGTGGTAGAAGAAAATATACATGTACTGTACGTGTAGTAACTAGTAGTAGTAATAGTGTGTAGGATGAAACTCGATTTTGACATCCAATATATTCACGGCTATGATGACGAATACCCTTCCATTTCTGCATGAGCGGCTCTGCGTGTCGCGAATTAATTAACATTCATCTCATCAAGGAAGGTGGACGTATACGGACCTATAAGCTGCGCGACAGTTATCTTTTGCATTTTTATTCTTGAACCTTTGCCCCTTCGACCCACTCAACATGGCTGCATCGAGATCTATCGAATTGTTTCAATGACGGTCGAAGGAATTCGAATAGGAAGTTTACAGCACCTTTAACTTCATTAAGAAGCTTTAGTCTGTTCAAGGGTAACCATTGCCTTAGAAAGATGGAAAGTCAGGCAAGCCTTATAGAAGTGAATAAGTTAGTCGGCTACGAACCATTGCCTTTTAGCATCCCAGAATTGCACGAGTAGCATTGGACCGTTTGTTGTGGGTAATTTGTCCTTCATGTTAAAAAGCGAGTGGGGGACAGCCGGGTCATCCTCCTCGTAGACGACGGCGGGCCACCAAGGGTAGGACTCTGGAAGTTACCACGAATCTTGAGTACAGTGTTGATCGAAAATATGTGAATGACGTGCTCACCGACTTTAGCCCAAACGAGCGTTCCACCTTCAAGGAATTCATCATCACGGAGATGCAGCTCGCCGGGCCCTTTCTGCATGGTCTTCCCCAGCTCATGAGCATCATCCGCAGAGACGCGTTTCCATTTGCGCATGTCTTCGTCGATGATCTCGTTACTAGCTTCGGCGACAGTTTCACCAGCTTCTCCCTCATCGACTTGCTTCCCCTTTTTGGTCTTTGTAGTCTTGACTTCAACCACCTCCGCGATTGAACTCAGCGGACTGAGTTCGGAATCGGGCTCGGATTTCATCTCCGTATCTATGGCCGTCACCAACTGGACAGTCTTTCGTGGCCTCCCTCTTCCCCTCTTGACTTGGACTGGTTTCTTTGGCGGGGATGCAACAATCTCGGGAGATGCAGCAATTTCGGGTGACGGGGCACGGCCCTGCTCAAGATTAGCGAGTCTCTGCTGCTCAGCGAGTGCTTCGAGGCGTTGTTGCTTCTTTGCCATGGACTTCGCACGACGCGTGGCGGGGGTATCGAGTTCTTCGATGATGATTGGCGGTGGTCTGTCTCTCCGTCGGTCCGCCCTCGTACGTGTTGGCGCGGGTTCTGCAACAGGAGATCCCTCTTCCACATCTGCATCGATACCGGCGTCGACGTCGACATTGGCGCCCGTGATTATTGCAGGATCTTTTTCTCCCTCGACATTGTCTTCTCCGATAGCATCGACAATTGCACCACCGTCCTCAACCGTTGCATTCGCATTAGTTCCATCGTCGATCTCCCCATCTGCATCTGCATCCGCATCCACCTCTGCATCGACGTCAGATGGTCCGTGCGATGGCACCGTGGCGGGTCCTGTTTCGACTAGCATGGGTTCATGACCGAGAACAGCTTCGTCGATCAATTCTTGTTTCGTTTCCACATCTGGCGGTTGAACTTCGCCAGATACGATCCGGCTTTCTGAAGTAGGGAGAGCAGAATGTACAGATAGATTCTCGGGTAGAGTTTGATTTTCAGATGCAGGTGTACTGTAAATAGACAAGGTGGACTGCTGTCGTTCTTTCTCTGTAAAATATCGTAAATACCCGTTTCGAGATAAGATACAACACAAATAGAGAATTTACCTCCAATTCTTTGTCTCTTCCTTGGAGGAGGGAGTTCCGCTCTTTCAATGGGCGCACGACCACCTCGTCGATGACCAGGTGGTAGGATCCATCCTTCATCAAACATCGTGAATGACTTGTGACTATCAACGTCGTCCACCACTGGAGGAACTTCAGTTTGGCCTGGTAGAATAACGGGACGCTTCCATCGCTTGCTGCTAGGCTTGGGCGCATCAGAGGCAACGGAAGGAGCTCCGGACGATGGACCTGGTTCGCCGCCCGTTAAGACTTCGGCCTCGAAAGCTTCTGCCTTTGCAAGTTGCGACCGAGTCAACGTCCCCGAGCCAATGCGTAGGCTCGTGGGTGTTGGAGCGCGGAAGCCAGGTCCGCTGTCGAGCTCTTTCTGTGCGGCCAGCAGTGCCGCGCGCCGCTCCTTTTCTGCCTTCCTGTCTCTCTTGGGATTTTTGGACTTCGCTTTCGGCTTTGGCACTGCAGGAGGCGGAGGCGGTGGAGGCTTTGGTACGCCCAATTCGTACGCAAACAGAGCAGCAAGTGGATCTAAATGTCCGCCTAAAATGTAGTCACAGTCTTCTTGAATAGCTTCGTTCGATAATAAGAGATTTAGGACGTCCAAGGGCGGCTCAAGATCTCCGATGAGTCGTTCTTCGGAATTGGCAGGTGTACTGCGTTGCGAAGATGGACCAGGTT